AAATGTCAACTCCCATACAATCAGGGAAAGAACTGGCCAGCTCTTGGCTTTTGGATGGACTGGTGCTCTGAAAAATGTTTCTTTCCTTGGTTCTTAGCAAGGCCCAGACCACAGTAGAGAAGGGGGCAAAATTTAGTCTTTGCATTAAAAAAAAAAGCATGGTTTCTAACCACACAGCTGAGAAACGGGACTTATTTAAACATTGCAGGACATCAGCTGAATTTACTGATGTGGCTCAGCTTAATACACAGGGCCTAACACTAAGAACAATAGATAACATCCAGGGGTGCCTGTGGGATATAGACAGGCACCTGGTAGTCACAGACAGCATTGACTTGGCCTGGGCTACACCCCTGGATGCCCCGAGTACCAGTCCTCAGAACCAATACTCGGACACGAAGATGTGCACGTTGACAAGGTTTCGGTGGGAGACCACACCCCCCAACACGTAGTTCATCTCCAGCTTCAGCACTGCATGGAAGGGACCCACAATGGGCCTCACTTGGCGCACGACACCTGGGGAAAGAACAGAAGGTTCTGGATGTTAGCGGGTGCACAGCAATGTGGGTATCTGGGAAAGAGCGTCCCTAGAGGAACTTGTGGACTAGGGTTACAGCTTGAGCCAGATGCTTGGACTTTGTGAGTAACCATCCCTATTCCAAGTGGTCACCCTGGGATGTTTCCATAAAGAGAGACAGGTGACAGTGGACTCACTACCTCTCGAGGCAGCCTTCCTGGTGTGCACAGCTTGGACAGAGGGAAGCTGTCAGCATGGGCTTTGGAGATGGGCAGCTCTGGGGCAGTGTCAGCTCCCACCCTCTTGGGAGTCTGGGTTCTTGCTCTACCACTCTCCACCTGAAAGCATTCCAAAGACCCTAGAAAAAAGTCTAGCGTGGAGTTGAGGCCTGATACACCTATCTTCCCTTCCCGCCTACCCACTATAGATCCTGAAAGTACCACACACTCACATACACAGACACACAGATACACACAGACAGACCATTAATCAGTTGATCTATCCATTCACACACAGACACTCACACACACAGACACACACACGCACGCATGCTCCAAGGTCATTCAGAAATGACTGTTGGCTCTTAAAAAAAAAAAAAATCCACTATTCCAATGTATGTGATTCCAGCTAAAATGTGGCCAGATCCTTCACTGAAATGCATAGCTAATGTTAAGTTTCTCTGGGGCTGATTTTCAAACCTGATGAGAAAGGAAAGCCCAAATAAGCAGGAAATGTTTGCATTTAAAGCTGTCTATCAGGGAATTCATGAGGGGTGGTTCTGTTGTGGTTGCAGATGAGAACTCAATGCTGTTGTGGTTGTTTGGTTTGTAAAAACCACACAAGACAGAGCACTGAAGCAAAGACTGTGGTCGGTGAAAGGCGGACCACAAGGCCTCAAGGTGCCAGGCTGCATTACTGATATGAGTCACTGTCGGGCCTGGAGTGTCCAAGATCTTTGCATTTAGCAAGAAGGATGACTAAGAACAGCTAGGGATGCTCCCAGGTTAGGCAAGAGCCTGTGTGGGTGCACACAGCAGGCCCAAGGAGTGTGTCCCTTCCTGCCTTTCCAGAACTTCTCTCTTCTGCCCCTTTGACCTGAAGTCTGGGTTGTACCTCCAGCCTCACTCAGCCCAGTGCCCCTTTCCCACATGAGGCCCCATCAAAGGGCCTGACCCCCACCCCTCCAGCCCAGCCACAATCTCCTCCACCTGTGGTTTCAGAGAACGTTTCCTCCATCCTCACACTAGTTTAAGCACAACCTTCACCTCCTTGCCCTCACCTTGACTGAACCCAGGCCAGGAGTCAGTTTGCTTTATGAAAGAGGACATAAATAGTAAATAAATAGGATCAAATGGCTGGTGCTGGTGCTAGAACTTTCTTGAGCTTCCTACCACCTGTCATCTATCTACCCATCATCCATCTGTCCACCCACCATTAATCAGTTGATCTATCCATTCACCTACCCATCCAACCACTCATCAATCTAACACATCTATCTCATTCATCCATCAACCAATCAATCAACTGATCTATCCATTCACCTACCCATTCATCCATTCTACTAATCTATCCCCATCAATCTATCATCTATCTATCTATCTATCTATCTATCTATCTATCTAT